TCTAGCTTGATAATGTGTCTATTAGATTCAATTTGACATTATCTTTACAATATCATTTTTACTCAGTTTCTTAGTTGCAACCAGATAAATAGCATGGTTTTCTACTTTTGTACGAATTTATATTAAATTTATTAGGAGTCGTTTGCTATTATATTTGTATTTAACATAATTTTTTTGATTTCGCAAAGGTTGCAAAAATTGTTCATAAAAAAGAATCATCTCATGTCAACTATTACTTGTTGCTGGAAAAGTGATAATAATAGAACTACGAACTCCACAACGCAACTTAATACGCACACCACCCTTCAAACTCTTGATGATTTGTTTTAGGTACATTTAAGTTGGCTCAATAATTCCTCGGATTCATTTCATCCTTTGTTTTTCGCTCGTTGAATTGAGTGCTATTATAATGATAGTGGATTGGGGAAGAGCATAAATGATGATTAAAAGGCTTCACGTCCGTGACGCTATTTCTTGGGGAAGGGAAGAAGGGCGATGAAGTTTTGGACGGGCTAACTGTGGAATAAGGCGGCATTTCATTATTGGGTGAATTGACAGCGCGGACAAATCTTGGAGGCGTTGATGATGGAGTCGAAGTAATGGACCATTGTTTTAGCCTATGCGTCAGATTCTGAGTGATAGACGCATCTGTAACAGGCGTATTCTCTTGCTGTGCCATCTCTTTCATGAGATTTTTCTTTGCACGGGCTTTTTGTGCTGACCTGACCATTGGCGAATCGGTAATTAATAAACGATCATTGAAAATTATTTAGAATAGATGAGCACATACTTTCTTTTTGACTCCAACATTCTCTGGCGTCTTTCCTCATCAGTCTTTGGACGATTGGGATCATTGTCCCAGCGCGTAGCGCGAGGTTGCTCGATCTTATGCTTATCCTTCAAATGGCGGCGCAAAATGGAACGGGCATTCTTCCCACGATAAATCTTACCACATTCCTCACACGTAACCTCCTTTAGTATTCGAGGCGGAGGCGTATTCTCTTTGTCATCGTTATGATTGCGATTTGAGACAACCGGTTTCTCTGACGTTTGCAAGAAACATTGCGGAAGATTGTTTCCTTCGGTATGTCGGTAGTTGTTTGGATGCGCTTTCGGAATGCACAGTCGCGTATGTGAAGGAGCCAAGTTATTTATTTCTTGAACAAACGAATGGGTTGCAATGCCTGCTTCGATGATAGTAGGGTCGATTGTCATTTCATTGAAAAGTTGTAGTTGCGATATAGGTTGGACAACCATGAACGGTTGAATGTGCAAAAATGGTTGTAGTTGTGTAGAGAGTTGCCTTACGGTTGACAACTCGGGTTGTAAAATAAGAGGGACTGGACGTGGTGAAGTCTGTATTTGTGGATCATCAGAAGTACTTGGAGGCGAGGAAAGTCTCAAAGGTGGTAGTGTCAAGTCGGATAACGACGAAAGTGAGGAATCGAAATTATTAGAGCAAAATATTTTCGCTGACATTTTTATGTCTCTTGAAGTACGTTAGATTAGACAGATGGTGATAACCCTAAAGAAGGGGAAAAGGATGGGTTTATATAATTATCAAATTGGCGCTAACCAGCGCGTGTAAGTTGATTCAATTTTCGAGAAACAATTGATTAGATAAACATCGAACAAGGACGCGTTGTGTTGGATTAATTTTATTTCTGATTAGAGACGCGTTTTTGGGAACCAATGATCTCGGCAGAAACCTTGATTCTGAATCACGTAAAATCACGACGCGTCTCAGGTCGGCTCAAATAAATATTTTATATATTTATTTATTTATGTTAATATAAACTTACTTGTCGTTTCCTTATTTTACTTATATTAAACAAAAAAATTTTTGTGATTTAAAAAATGTACTGTAGACAGTTATACAGTAGGGGACGAAAAAAATTGCCTTTTTTCCAAATATATTTAACTTAATAAAGAATTATTTAAATTTTACATATAAATTATAATATTTATACGAATTAATATATAAAATTTAAAAAAATTTTTAAAAATAATATTATTAATTAAATATAAATTATTTTAATTAAAAATTATTTTATAAAACTAATTAATATTTTTTTATATTTTTTAAATAAATAAATTTTATATTATAGT